ACAGGACCCCCCGGCCTCCTGACTCCCTGATTAGCCTGCCTGCCCTGTCAATCAGGCTGACCTGGAGCATTGGCCTCTCCCCATTGTTCCTGCGAACTGTCAGTCTCTGGGTCCTGATTTCCCATCGACCCTTCCCCTTTCTTTTGGCACAGGGAGTTAGCCCACCAAAACACCCCCACTGAATGTTAGTAAGGGGACCCCTTACATATGGCTTATGCAGCTGTAATGTCTGTGGGAGAGGCCTATGCCCACCCATAAACAGGGTCATTAGAGTATATGACTCAATATGACCACTTGTCTAAGGTACTTATATGGCTCCCATTGCTGGAGTATCTGAGTATCTCACAATTCACCATTTTTACAGCTGGAAGGGAGGAAAGAGGCTGAGTGACTTACCTAAAATCATTCAACATTTGTGGCAGAGCAGAGACTTGAACTCCAGTTTCCTATATCAGTGCCCTAACCATTGGACCACCTTTCTTCTCTTCTTTATACACTTTTAATCTCCTCTTTACAAATTAAAGGCCTAATGCAACTCCCATTAAATTTAATGAGAAATGGCTCAAGCCCTAAGGCCACAATTTTTGCAAACTCTTATGCAGAGCCAACCCCACTAGAGAACAGTGAGCTGTATTCTTTTAGTCCTTTTTGCACATTACCATCAGAATTGTTTATTAAATTCCAAGCAGTTGGACTTGTACATTGCACTTGAAAACAAGGGGACTTCACAGCTGTTATTGATGGTAGGATTTGACCTGCAAAACTTTTATTATGGATGAGCTGCTTCCCAGTTCTAAACTGCATGAGAAGATAAAAGTACACTAAAATTCCCTAATATTACTTTTCAGTTTAAGCAATTCCTATGGGCATATCAGGCAATTGTGAATCGCAGGAAAGGTGGTAGGCAAGGCATGGTTTCAACTGTGTCCATTTTGCCATTTAATTCGAGGGATTATCCTCTCTGAAGGTGGACTAAGTAGTGTAATATGATGTCATGGCTTTACTCCGATCATGTCTGCCTACAGTGGTTAGCCCCAGAAACAGTAACATCCTGAGATTTAAAGATAAAGGTGTTTCTCCTCTAGTTTGTATAGAAGGGGCTTGTACTTTTACCTACTGAGGACCTGCATTGGATCCTCATGGATGACCATGTCAAGTATTTTCCATCTATGCTATTCACTAAAAATGGCTCATCTCCCATGCCCGCATGAATGTTCCCTTTCTGATTTCCATCTACAGCAATTGCTTGTTGATCTTAATCCAGCTTCTGTTTTAGCAGGATGTATGGGTTTTTGTTTGTTTGTTTTAAACTGGAATAATTTTGATCCCATGTGGGAAACAGTGATAGATTTGGGAGACTTCCCCCATGCCCCACAGCTGATGTGAAATTGGTGTATATAGGTAACATTTCATTGGTTGCACTGCAAATCTCTTTGCAAGAACCTTTATATTACTACTAATAGGACTAATAAAAATAAATAATAGGTTCTAATGGAATTCCTTGAGGGTGCATTTTGTTTCTTAAAGTGGAAGAGTTCTAACAACTTCAAGCATTTGCTTACTTAGCACCTGCTAATGGCTTCCCAATCCAGGGCCGCCCAGAGGATTCAGGGGGCCTGGGGCAAAGCAATTTCGGGGGCCCCTTCCATACAAAAAAATTGCAATGCTATAGAATACTATATTCTCGTGGGGGCCCCTGTGGGGCCCAGGGCAAATTGCCCCACTTGCCCCTCCCTCTGGGCGGCCCTGTCCCAATCAGCACCCCTGCTCTTTGGTTCAGACTGTTCTTGACATTCTTTTCCAAAACTTAGGTCATAATCATATCCTGAAGACATAACACTCCTGCAAAAGAGAACAGGTTTCTATCAGCACATTCCTCACTAGTCTAATGCAAGGGCTGGAAAGGAGATAAACACAAAAATATGAAAACATAAGAAAAGGGCACAGACAGCATTGACAGACGGGATAGGCCAGATAAGTGCCTGCTGCTAAAAACTAAGAGTTTGGAGGCAGGTTGGTTGGAATGAACAACATTGTTTAGAAAGTGGACACTGGAACTACACCTGTCTGTTAAGCAGCTAAGGCCAAGATTTTCAAGAGTGACTAGTGACCTTGGGAATCATTCAGTCCAGACTGAAACATTTAGGGTATGTCTTCACTAGCAACATTAAAGCACTGCCACGGCAGCGCTTTAACGTGGCTGTGTAGTCACGGCAGAGCTGTAAAAAAAACTACCTCCACGAGGGGAATAGCTACCAGCGCTGGTGCCCTGTCTACACTGGCAAGTTACAGCGCTGAAACTTGCAGTGCTCGGGGGTGTTTTTTCACACCCCATAGTGAGAAAATTGCAGTGTAAACAAGGCCTTGGCTACACTTGAGAGTTACAGCGCTGTAAAGCCACCCACAGCGCTGTAACTCACTGACCGGCTACACTGGCAAGGCACGTACAGCGCTGTATCTCCCTGGGTACACCGCTGCAGGTACTCCACCTCCCTGAGTAGCATAAGAGATACAGTGGAGTGGCTACGACTCTCCCCTATGAGTGTGTGCCAGGAATCAACCTGCAGCGCTGTACTGATCACCTTGTCAAGTGGCCAGTCCTCTCCATTGTTGTGACCGGCTGCAGGAATGCGGAAGTGCCGGTTTCAAAGCTCGTACCACAGAGAAAAAGCAAACAGTTTGCTATCAAAGGGGTAGCCGTGTTAGGCCTTGGCTACACTTGCAGCTGTACAGCGCTGTGAAGTAAACCTGTCTTCGTACAGCTGAGTAGGGAAAAGCGCTGCAGTCTGTCCACACTGACAGCTGCCAGCGCAGTGGTGTGGCCACACTTTTGCAGCTGTGTTGGGAGCGGTGCATTATGGGCAGCTATCCCAGCATTCATGTGGCTGCAACGTGCTTTTCAAAACGGGGGGTGGGGTGGATTGTGACAGGGAGTGTAGGGGGAGAGAGAGTGCTTTTTGGAGCGCGTCAGCTCTCTATTTTGCAAGTTCCGAACTCCCGGCCCCCTGCTCATTCATTTACTCACTCAAAGCAAGCTGCAAATTGTTTGCTTTTCTCTGTGGTACGAGCTTTGAAACTGGCACTTCCGCATTCCTGCAGCCGGTCACAACAATGGAGAGGATTGGCCACTTGACAAGGTGATTAGTACAGCGCTGCAAGCGTTTACACTCACACCCGTGAGTCGTAGCCACTCCGCTGCAGCTGTTATTCCTCTCGGAGATGTGGAGTACCTGCAGCGGTGTACCCAGGGAGATACAGCGCTGTAAGTGCCCTGCCAGCGTGGACGGGGAGTGAGTTACAGCGCTGGGGGAGGCTTTACAGCGCTGTAACTTGCAAGTGTAGCCAAGGCCTCAGTCTGGATCTGTAAAAGCAGTTTGCTGTTTGCTTTGAGTGAGTGAATGAATGAGCAGGGGGCCGGGAGTTCGGAACTTGCAAAATAGAGTGCTGACATGCTCCAAAAAGCACTCTCTCCCCCCACACTCCCTGTCACACTCCACCCCACCCCACCCCTGTTTTGAAAAGCACGTTGCAGCCACATGAATGCTGGGATAGCTGCCCATAATGCACCGCTCCCAACACAGCTGCAAATGTTGCAAGTGTGGCCACGCCACTGCGCTGTCAGCTGTCAGTGTGGACAGACTGCAGCACTTTCCCTACTCAGCTGTACGAAGACAAGTTTACCTCACAGCGCTGTACAGCTGCAAGTGTAGCCAGGCCCTTAGAGATGCTTGATTTTTAGAAAGTGCTGAGTTCCTGCCCTCTGAAAGCTGGCCCACCTCATGGATATTAAGGCAAGAAGGGATCATTCTCATCAACTAGTCTGACCTCTTGTATGTCACAGGGCATAGAATTTCAGTTACCCCCTATATTGAACCCAATAACTTGTGTTTGGCTAAAGGACCCTCCAGAAAGGCTCTAGTCTTGATTTAAAGAGATGAAGAGATTGAGAGTCCACCACTTCCCTTAGTAATTTATTCATAAATGTTAAATCACTTAGAATTTGTGTATAATTTCTAATTTGAGTTTGAGTTCAGCTTCCAGCCATTGGTTCTTGGTATGCCTTTCTCTGCTAGATGAAAGAGCCCTTTAGTACCAGGTATTTTCTCCCTGTGAAGGCATTTTTCAAGAAGGTGATAACTACGGTGGATCTTTAAAGGTGTTTCAGCAAGACAGACATCCAAAAATCAGCTGTTACATTTGAAAAGCATGGCCTAATTTGAGAGTCAGACAAATGTCAGATCATAGAATTTTGCTATTCCCATTCCATGCAAGATAGAGAACATCTGCCAAACATTTCCACGAACACCATCCATGAGCTGTTGCTCCTCTTTCAGGGAGGAAGACAACTCATTGTGTCACTCAGAACTTAGCATGGAATGCTTCTCTCTTCTGTGTTCATATGGTAGCCAACTGTACATCTATTACTGTATACTATCTATTCGGAAAGCACAACATAACTCATGCATTGCATGAGTTAACTGCTACAAAATGAGAAAAATCCCAAACACAAATAATCCATCAAAGACGTTGTTATTGAAAGTTCTGTGTAATTTTATTTCAACATATCAAGCACAAACAGGTTTCCCCTAACTGGAGAACATGACAAGGAATGTAGTTAAAAATTTGGAAACATTTACATTTAAAGTTTGCCAGTCTGGCACCACCACTAAGTATTTTAAGGCTGTATATATAGCAGTACTTACCAATTGGAACTACTTCAGGCCAGAAAAGAAAGGCTTAGTACTGACTGCAATCTACAGAGAATATTGCAAATCTTTTAAAAAATGGTGTAAAATAGGAAGACTATTAACAGAGTTAACAACGCAGTGGCAAAACCCTTACCCTTCCTGACCTTTAATAATAGATGTGCCTACGATCAAACACACATACTTGCTCCCTCTCCAAGGGGGCAATGGGAAATTTTAGAGGACTTATGTACAATTCTTGTGTTGTTATAATATAAAAACAGCCATATAGCCCCCCCCCCCCCAAAAAAAAAAAAAAAAGGGATCAGGATTTATAAACAAGCATGTCTGACATTTGACTCAGTGGGTCTAGTTCAGGACATTATCGGCTCTGTAACAGAATGAGGAGCTTTACTGAATGATTCCCTTTTCCTAAAGGCGGCAATCGTGCATATTTACAATCTCTGTGCAGTGGAGTGTGATGCATATTTTCAGGTCCAACTGTGTGTGTGTGTGTGTGTCAACAGCAAGATCCTAGGAGAAACTGTGACCGATAACCAAGTGGTTGGATTTTTGGACCATCATCTGTTGTTCCCGTCCCATAACTGAATGTACCCGACAGACATCTTGAAAATTGACAATAAGAACCCTTCCCACCTCCCCCAGCCCTTAGAGCTATAAAACAAGCCAATGGAACCATTCTAAAACCATGTAGATGTTTGCCATTATTGGGGCACCAATACTGCTTGGTAATTATTGATTGCATCAGAAAATGACAAGACATAGAAAACAAATTGCACAATTAAAGCTACATTTGGCTTTAGCATTAAGGCCCGTACAGGTAAAGAGGTCCTTGAAGATGTACACGTAAAAAGGCAAATGACAATCTGAAGGAACTAAACTCTGCTGGTTCCCTGGGTCCCCTTTTAGCCTGGCTCTTTCTTCCAGCTCTGCTGCGTTGGTTTTAAAGTGCTTGGTGCCTCGATGGGCTCCTTGCGTGAGTGTCACCCTCCTGCAGCCAGTAACTTTTATTGCTGCCAAACGTAGTGCTTTTATTTGAAGACATAATTAATGAACAGTTGACATGTAAGAAAGACGCAAATGAGAAACCAACAGCGAGAGTCCAGGAGGAGGTTTTCGGAAGAGGCCTTCCTGTAGAAAGATTTTTTGTTCAGAGCAGTGAGGTTTCTGAAACAACAAGTAGTAATAAATCCATTTGCATGTAGGAAAGAATTTTACAGATACTCTTCCTCCCCCCCCCCCCCCCCTCCGTCCTGGAGGCCCATGAACACTCAGCTACTGTTCCCAGTCCTGGAGATCCTACACAGGCAAGACTCCCCATGGCTTAAATTTACAAGCCTGTTTGATGAGTACAGGATCGGGCCCATGTGGTTTTCTCTTTTAACAAAGGAATAATATGAATATTCCTTTCTCCTATCCTTTGTCTATCTTTTCTATATAGACCATCAGCCCTTTGGGACAGGGATTGTCTCACTATGTGCATGCAAGAACCCAGCACAATGGAGCCCCGATGTCAGCTAGGGTCTCATGGTGCTACTTGTAATACGAACAATTATTATAAAAGGGTTGATTCCCACGCAACAGAAGGGCTCAACACCTGGAAAATCCGGCCCTCATTATGGAACAGCCCAGGTCTAGCTCAGGCACCAAAATAAATGGCTGGGTTTTCAAGCGATCTCAGCATGGCGAGTGCGGGGCTGTTCAGGAAATCTGGCCCGCTCACAATGGGGACTGCTGGGTGCCGAGCACTTCTGAGGTTCAGTACCCTCAATTGGGGCCACGTTACTTGAAAACCTAGCACTAGGAGTGAGAAAGGTAGCAAAGAACAGAGTGCAGTGCAAAATTCCGGAATTGCCAACTCATTGTAAGACACTAAATTCTGTGTACTTGCCAGGATTTAGTAATTCGAGAGAACAGGTTTCTTGGCCTCGTCTACTGAAATAACATAATCTGCTGCATTTTATTCAAGCCTAAACAAACTTATTAGCTTTCCAAAGTCATCAGGAGGAGTATTGCCATTGGAAAAATCTTTACTAGTCTTATCAAACAGCCTAAAATAGAATTAGCTTCCCGAAGAGTATCTGAATT